ATAGGAAGTAGCTATTACCGTAGGTGGCACGGTAAGACCTAGACCCGGGACCGATTTACTTTTTCATTTTGATGTCCCCAGAGGCAAAAACACCATTCCTTCAAATTGTTATATATGTATATATATAAATTATATTTATTTAGAAACAAACAATATAAACAACAGTTAAGTGTTAAATGTATTTTGAAGTTTGAAAATGGACTAATGTCCGAAACATGTCACTTCTCTTTATAAAATATAATATTCAGGGTGCTCAGTTGTACTTATTTACTTAAATATTTAATAAATACAGGGTGTCCATAAAAAACGTTTCAGGACTTTGGGAAATGAATCCCCATACTAAAAGGAAGAAAAAAGTTTATGGGAAGGTATGTCCGAAAATGCATATTAACCCAGATATCCGCCATTTTGTTTTTTATACAAAAATATTTTTATCTGTGAAGTTTTTTATTCGACGATTATGAAATTTGGTATACATGTTAATATACACAAGACCTATAATAGAAAAAATAATAAAGTTGTTCCGATTGTAAATTTCAAAATGGCGGCCGTTTTGAATTTTTCTAACTTAAATAACTCAAAAAACGGCTAATTCTATGAAAAATGTCAAGAATACTTTTTTTAGCATTTTTAATTTCCTATCAAACGATACCAAGATCAAAAAGATCGGACAAAATATAACTGAAATATAACGTTTTTTGTGTAAAAATAAGGCAAAGTTAGTAGAGGAACCCTTAATTTCGCGAACTCATTCGAGTTTATCCTGCCTTACACCTTTAAACCAAATTTCATCAAAATCGGACTAAAATTACTCAAGATATCACGTTCACGGACGTATATATATATTAAAATTAAAAATTAAAAATCAATTCAGGACAAATGGAAATTCACTTAGTCGGCAAAGTGTGCTGCGGCGGGGGTATTTCAAAGAACAGTAATAATGTAAAAAACCTCAGTCAAAAGAAGCATTAATGTTAAAACTTTTTTTAATACCACAATGCTATGAATAAGTTATTCAATGGCCCAATTTGACCAACATATTTGTCTTGGTTTTGACTGACTAAAATGATTTAGCCTAAGACTTTATCTACATCGATTTACCTTTCCTTATGAATATGAGCCTGTGCACACCCTTCAATCGGTCTTCTGTTATGGTTGACCTGAGATAAGTTTTTATTCCTCTCAGTGAAGATTACCCATTTTATCTAGTGTAAATTGGATACCCAAGGGGGGGGGGCAGCTCCTCTCTGGATCCGCCAATGTACAGAATTATTTCTTAGCGTGTTTTTTTTTCTTCTGTGAATTACATATCATTTATTGCAGTTTCTATCAATAATCAAAGAACCATGACAAATATAATGAACCTTGTTTGTATGAGACGTTATTGTGAGAATCTTGAAGATCTACTGGTTGAAGTACTTAATTTTGTTTGTGTTACTAAAGGATCATTGACACTTTCTTTTTGAACCAGTGACAGTGTAGATTACAACCAGGCTCCAAAGTTACGTTTAAGATTTTCTGTGATAGACTAGGCAAAACGTAAAGCTTAATATGATGTTTTTGATACAAAACAGTCATTTACTTGGAGTTGGTCATTCACTTATGCACTCTTCCTAGTTCTTACAAGTCCCATTTTATGGTTACTGTGTATTCTAATAAACTTTGAATAAATGTAGCCCTTTTATAATCACTTTCCAATGTAAAATATTATGTTTTTATAATTTAAAAGATCATATAAATATTTCTTCTTAAAACCAACTAAAACCATGATATATTCTTGTCAAAATCCATTTTCTGTTTTAGCTTAGTTCTCTTTAATTTCAGGGTCTCTAGGCATCCCTCACCCAGGTGAATTTCAAAAATATTCTCTTTCGCCCAATAAACATTTCACAAAAGGTTCGTAGAGGTTACTACCTTCGTAATCAAATATTTTACTTGCACTTTTTCAACTTTTTAACTGCATGCAGTAGAGAACATTGTTTGCCTTGAGACTAAGTCGTTCTCGGAGTAGACATTGCAGCTGTAGTTCACGATTCTGAGCTGATAAATTGTGTTTATAGTAGAACTTAAAATCTTCTTTGAAAAAGATACTACATCATTGGATTAGTTTTACCCATAGAGCAATATAAATATGGCAAAATTGGGCTTGCTATGATTAGTGCTCAATGCTACTGCCAATATAGTGTGGGTTGGGGGCGGGGAATTTTTTATAAACTAACTTAAATTGAATTGATGAGTTTTTTTTTCAAATTACCTATGAAAGCTAGGCTATTTTAAGCTTTACTAGTACATAACATTTTTTGAATGCAATCAACTCAATCAATGCAAAAATTTCTATTGTATACTTGATAGTAAATGAATAATATTGTAATTATCTAATTTAGAAGAATGGGATGGCAGCTAGCTTACCTTAGAAAAGGTACAGTAGACCATAGAACAGATAGAAGAAACATAAAACACAATTTTTCATGTTGGGTGGCTTTTTCAAGTGCAGAGAGAGTTCCAAGTTCCAAAGAGAGTGAGATATTGTGTGTATAATGTTTATTCTGTTTTCTATAGCCTACATGTACTTATTCTAAAGTAAGCTAGCTGCTATCCCCTTTTTTCTGCAATTAAACTTTAAAAGTAGTCACAATCAAATTACATTTTTTTTTATATATTATGACTTTGTGCAATAATGTTATAACGTAAATTATTTGTTTCTTAGCTAGTTTTTGTTTGTTTTAATAATCAAGAAACCTATTGATTTGAGTCAAAATAATGTTGTTTAGAACTATTTTTTTGTGTAAAAATAACTTCAGTTTAGTTTTCCTAAGGTTTGTTTATAGTTTGCATATTAAATCTAAATAAATACGGTAAATACAAATTTGAAAAATTCTCCTTTCAATTTTCTGATCATTTTATTTAGTTCATTATTTTTTTCTGTTTATAACTCTCTTATACATTTGAATCTCCTTGTTTTTTTTTCAATTATAAAAATATTAAGTTTTAGTAGGCTTACCAACATTATATGAAAATTAATTAATTTAATACATGCCGGTATACCATTTAATACTACAGTGCAAAGATATTACAAAGTTTCACATTCAAAATGCTGCCTAAAAGGTTGTAACTATAATTCTGAAGCTGAACGAAGCATGCGAACGACTTTTAGACAGTTTTTTCTCTACTTGTAATGTCTCACCATTGTACTTTTGATCAAGTTTGTACTTGGAATGTGTTATAGCATAATGCGTGGAATTTTGTAATATCTGCACTCACACTACACAAATTGCTTTGCCAAATTTTAGTACTGTTCTGTGTTAGGATTTTTACCCGTGCCTGCTCAAAAACCTGTACAATACTTTTTAAACAATTTATTCCAATTAGACCCTACAGTGTTTAGTTGAGATTGTTTGAAATGACATACTTTGGCTATTTATGGATCTTATAATATCTGCAGCTTTGGGAGTGATTGTATTGAATACTATGTTTATGTAGCTAATATTAAGTCAACATCCAAAGTTTTCGTAGA